GTGTGTGTGTGTGTGTGTGTGTGTGTGTGTGTGTGTGTGATTTTCAAAGTGACAGCCCTAACTTCAGGCAATAATAATATGTACTATAGAAAACATGAAGCTAATATGTAACTGATATTTCCATGTTACCGATTGTGACTTTATACCGCTTGACAAGTAACTAAGGATAGCCAGGTCCTGTACAGTGATTGTCATGTCACATTTGTTCCTTTAGAAATTGTAAAATGTTTTGATTGAATGAAGTAATTTGAAAACACGGTTGTTCGTGCGACACAAAACTAAATCGAAAGAGCATACGTATACACGTACATAATATTATTCATCTAATTGTGTTTTGTGCTTAGATGAACGTATTGTAAAACGCCTGGAGCTGTATTGTACGGGAGTAATCGCTATAGATACACGTATTTTCTGCATTATTGTTATTATTATGATGGTTATACACTATTTCATGTCAAAGAAGTGTACAATCATGCAATCTTACTACATAATATGAAGATCGAGAATGTGAATCAATAGCACTGATGTCTCTTGTAAACATCATTGAAGTGTGGTAAGTGATGTTAGTTGTTGAGGATTCCTACCGTGTTTTCATTAACGTCAAATTAAAAAAAAATATACATACGTACTCTCAACTATTTAACAAATAATTTTATAGAACATATACACGATCCACAGACATAATAAACTACAAAATATATAGTCACAAGCAAAATTCCTAACATCCTCTCTTTATCTCCACTGAGTATCAAAGCAAACGCTCAAACACACATTGCAAGAAAACTTAGAACAAATGAAATGCAACCACGAGGACACGAAATGTGTCAACATTTTGAGATAACTGACCAAAATGTTCTAGAAATACCAAGTTTTTAAAACATTTCAACCATAGACCGATTAAAATGCAAAATTGTACAACTTCGTAAAATCACCCACTTTGAGCATTTGTGCATCAAAGAATATTTTTCTTCTGACATTTATATTTCCACGTTAACTCTGGGAAAGTGGTGGCAATTTAATTGTGCTTCAAATTTGACTATTTCTCTCCAGACAGGCACACAATTAAATAGTACATTAGTAGAAATTTTGAATGAACCTGTTGCGTGTTTCTGGGTCGATTCTTTGGACTTCCTGTTCAACCATTCTGGTTCAATTGTTCAGTCTTTTTGTGGATTGTTTCTGAAGACTGTCTTCCCGAAGACTTCAAAGGAAATCATTGCAGTTCGAATATGTCCTCTTCTTTTTCTTTTAGACACCATTCATATAACAATGTCAGTTTTTAATAAATTTGATCTGTAATGCACAGATACACAAAATGGGTGATTTTTAATAGATTTTAAAGTTTCGCGTTTTTCTAATTTTTGGTTGAAATTTTTCAAAACACTAAAGTGGGTTTTCTTCACATTGATTAACTTGACGTCAATCTGATGGGTCCTATTTGTTCGCTGGATGTTTAGTTTGAATTTGTGGAGAGATTACCGAATCACTGCCTTTTAAATTAGTCCTCTTATTTCAGACTCCCTGTGCACGTTTTTTTTTTTTTTTTAATATGGCCTCCTACTACTTCCCTCCCTTGGCTTACTTGATGTACTCCAAAGTAGAGCGTTGGTGGGTGGTCAATACAATCGGAACCAAGGGAGGTGTAAGGAATTGTAAACTGTTTTACAGGTGTGATGGCGTTATTTAGTTACAATACGGAATGTTTTGGGGTGTGAATTTTGCATGTATACATTTTGAATATGCATACATATACAACAACAGCACACATGAATGCACAAGTGCACGAGACATCCAGCCATCCAGCATTTCCAGCCACCCAGACAGACAGGCAGACGGACAGACAGTTGAATTAGTCTGTGTGTTGACTGATCTTTGACAGCACTACACCCCCCCCCCCCCAATTTTTTCTCAGTTCAGCAGAAGATCCACCTGTCTTCGTATTATTTTCTTTCTCTTTTTTCTAACACCAGACTGAGTAAATGCCAATGCTGGTTTGAGCCAATCCCCACCCGTGGTTTTCACCCCTTGCCCTGACTGAGTGGGATCGACAGCTTGTTACTTGTTCCCGCGTGACGCAAGGTGGCCACCCTATCACCGACAGCAAAGCTCCAGGCTTACTGGGGAGCTTGGCTTCTTAAGTCCTAGCTTGTTACGGTAGCTTTGCTTCTAGAGATCGGTTCAAGCCCGAGGACACAATATTTTGAGAAATAAAAATGAAGAGTAGGTTTTGTTTTCCTCTGCAGGATGCAGAGCGACGTATGCAGTTCATCAGAGATCCGGATACAGTTGTGAAGCTGGAAGCAGTACCAAGTTTCTAAATCATTGTTTGGGGGTTCTTTGTACCTTTTTTGTTTGGCACAAATACCTTTCAACAAAGGAATTGTAAATATGAAAAAGCAAGTCAACGCGTTTTAACGATTTCCTTTCATAAGGGGCGGGGAGGTGGGGGTTCTATTCGTAGACTGATAGCAGCCAAATAATGTTATTGGTTCGGGTGTTGGAGTGAGAATTAGTGAAGGTTTATGTGCAAACGGGGAGAACTTGTGTTTATTATGAATATTTTTCCTTATTTTGGCTGTCCTAAATCAAATCAACGCCAAAATATGCTTCTGAAGCATACAAAGAACTTCTGTCCATGTTCGATTCATAAACCGTAAACGCCACGGCCATATTTATTGGGTTTCTACATCGTATTTCGAAGCCATTGAAGAACACTGTGTCGAAACCTAGGAAGATAAATTTGCCCACTTAAGAAGACCGGTAATATCAAAATGTTGATGTCTTTTTATGTGTCATTTCATCTACAGTCATCAATTGGCATTTTCATGAAAGGAACGACTTTATAAAATTAGATAAAGCGCACGGTCGCCCCGTGTAGCTCGCAAATTGATTGGGACAGAACAAGACCTGACATTGTAAATGCAGTAAATGCGCCATGAAAAGGACTAACGGAGGGTATCCATCTCTTTTATCGATTTCACGTTCAAGCAGTGTTGTTTTGTTCTGAACCCATCCCCCCTCCCTCCCTCTCCCCTTACTACCCCTTCCCGTGAGTCTTCCTCATTGAAGGCTCTCAAGACTTCATAATAACTTCACTTTCCAACTAGTTCTTTGCATTGTTACCTTCAATCATCCAGTGTCAATTTTAAGAACGAGATCACAGCTGTTCAGATGGTGGAGGAAGGCCTACAGCTTCTATAACGTTTTAGCGGCCTCCACTCCAACCGATGAGAATTGTATAGATGGTATAGATTTGATTTCCTTAACGAACCCTTGGTACAGAATAATATGAAGCAGTTTGTGCCTTTGTGTGGGAGAAGAATGTAAGCATGTATTACTTATGGGTATACGTTTCCTTTTCGAATTTTCCCACAGCTGTTTCTGAACCTGTTATTCTAAATTTACCATCAGTTGTCGGTTTTAATTTGAAAGCACAGCCTACTAAGCAATCGAGATGGTATGGGTTAAACAAAATGTTTAAGCACGTGGACAAGCATTAACATTTTACAGGTGGCAAGATTACTTATACTGTGATATTATATCATACTCCATTTTGAGTTAATGCGAATTTAACTAAATCAAAATTAGAAAATCCACGAAAAAAGGAGTCTATTTAGTGTGAATCATGTGGACAGGAAAACATTGTTTTAACAAAGGCAAAACATGACATAATAATAATTACCTGATAGAGGCGATGTTTCCCGATGACAAAGATCATTCCTGTATTTCCAACGATGCCAACAATTCCAACTGTTGTATGTAGAAACATGAAGAGAGGATACACGTACCGAAGAGAAGGTTTCACAAAGGGTTCCTTGAAGTCGAATCCAGTGTGATTGTTGTTTGTCATAAACTGAATGATGAGCTCTATATAGGTCTCCGTGGCCATGTTTCATTTAACTGAAAACTATTTATTTTTTGTTTTGTGGGGTTTTTTTGTGTGTCTGCTGTTTTTATGTTTCTGTAAACTGTCTCTTAACAGCTTTCCTCCTCGCAGACGTGATGCTTCGGAGCTTTCAGATCTAAAAGCAGCACAGGATTTGCGCAGCTTTCAAACATCGATCGATATTCATTATGTACACAAACGCATACTATAAAGCAGCCTCATATCTTTGCGAAAATATTGGTGTCATCCAAATATCCCAGTTGGCGAACAAGCCCCTGGGCCGCGCTCTGAAAATTGGAGAAATTGAAAACGATGAAGGTTATTAATGACATTATTCGAAAGAGAACGCAAGACAGAAGAAAAAGTATGAATACGTGAATGGCTTTTGTATTTCGCTCCAACGTTACAAGGTTTTCGTGTTAGCATTCAAAGTGCACTTTCTTTTGCTATTCTCTCACTCTGTGTTTGAACTCTTTTCCTTATTTTTCCCTCAAACCTTCGCTCTTCCTTTTCAATATATTAAAAGAAGCAGATAGAACCGTTTCATGTCTTTTATGGAAATGAGCATTGGTGCTGTCAATACGCCACCTATTACTGTTTAAAACTTGTCAATTGAAGTTACAGAACAACGTCATGGCTTCTCGACTATCAAGGCTGAGGTCTCCATATTGCAACACTCAATATGTACGAGTTATCTCTGAAGTCTATGTTATAAATTTTATATCAAAGTACAATATTGTCTTAAGGCAAAGTGCCCTACCTTTTGCGCTAGTGTGGGACCAAAGTCCAGAATAGTGACGATGGTGTATCTATGCAACCAGAGCAAGAAGGACAATAAAACAAGATTAAAGTTTATCTATGCTATACATAATTCTGGTGTTCACCATCTTGTTGTCACCTTCTAGAAGAAACCTCACACTCTTCAGCTTTCAAAACTTAAATGAAGGTAGCATTCAATGTTCCCTTAAGCATGAAGGAGCCGCGTTTTTCGTGACTGGAGCTTTTGAGAATGTATAAAATTGTAATTTTCGAACATTATATTATATCGTTATGAAACACTTCAAAATTGATCCACTGCTTTCCAGTTCCACTTTAAAACAAAATGAGCATCTGGTGTTCAGTATAAGTTTAAAGATGAATCAACAAATTAAAACCAAGTGTGCGTCAGTGACAGCGTTTATGAGGGGGGGGGGGGTCACTGCGGTGTGTCCTTGAACAATGTACGATAGCCCTAGCTCACAGACATGGCGCTGCACATTGCCGACTGGTATTGATGTGTGGATTGTCTGTGTTTGTGATACTGTGTATTTTCCATGCATCTATGTTTTATTGTATTAAATTGTGTATTTAATTTATGAACGCCATTATAAGACAAATTTCCCAATGGACTTAGGTAAGAAGAGTTTGTTTCTATTTTATCTAGTAGATATATTAATCCAAAGAAATTATTGCAAGACTGTTGTCAGTTAATCACGACTGTAGGGGTGGTGATTTTAGACTCAAGGATACCTTGCTATAAGTCATGTAAGTGGTTAGCTAGTTAGAAAAATATTTGATAAAATGACTATAGATCTAGTTTAATTTAATGTAAAGTCTTCACAATTTGTGGCACTATGAACAAAGACACCTAAACCTCTTAAGACAGACTGAGGAGAGTTGCAAACATCATGAAGATAGAAACGGCGCTTATTATCACCCTAACCAAGCGACACGTTGAGTGGTTGCCGTAATTTCCGAAACAACAGATAACATATTGATTACTGGCAACTGGAAACAGGTAGTGCTTTTTGAATTTCGGGGGTTTTTTTTAATAGAATTTTCGAGATAATTGCTCTTGGGCTGTCGTTATCGATCATTCTATGAATTTCTTCAGATGTGACAACGAGACTACGTCAGATAGATCTAATTACATGTCGAGGCGTCTCTATCAAGAGTCGTTTTTATCAAGATACCAGAAAAATAGCGCATCACCCTACCCCTCCCGAAAACTGTCCACATTATTTATGAGCTATCTAGATTACAAACTGAAATCGAGATCAGTACTAAGAAACAAACAGAAAATCAACACCCTTCTCAAAAATCTTGGAGTACTTTGAAATTCAATGCACACGACACCACTCAGGAATCTCAAAATAAAAAGGAGAGAAATCGAAACGAATCAACTTCATGAGCTCAGTGTTGATACTGCGTGTGGGTGTTAGCTAAGTAAAAAACTAGGATTGTTCAGTAGACAAAGAATAGAGAAGGACCTTGTTAATCATGAAATCAGAGCCTTTTGTGTACCACAGGCAGGGAATTACCTTATGCCTCTACGTACTATGGTTCCCTGAACAATTGGTCTTCACTTATTTTCTCCGGGGAACAATGGCTTTATTCAAAGTAAACATTACATTTGGAAAAGCAATCTAAAGTACCCCCCGCAGATTGTTGGCAAGAAAAAGATCCCTACCAATTTACTGGTTCTCATTCAGTTGTCTTGGGAGTTATTTCGCCATTAGGCTGCTGTCGAATATACCTTGCTTAAAAGTCACATATTATATACTTGACCTGTAGTGACCAGGTCGCGTTAAGCCAAACTGTCGTTAACCCAAGGAAATGTGGATAATTTTCTGGCTGCCATTCTGAGGTTCAAAAAATAAAATCGTGAGGCCTGGCATAACTGTTAGTGTAAGCCTACATCCTCAACACACAGACATAAGGCACTTTGGGAAAATGTTAGGGGTGGCCTGGCTTATAACAACTTTAATTTCATCTGCTTTCTAATTCTGAAAATCTCTGGCGCTCAACATCTCCCTTTTTGGGGTCCTTTGGCCTTCTAAAACCAATTATGAATAAAGATATTATCGTGAGTAAACGTCATGAAGCTACCCAAAACATACACTTAAAAAGGCTCAAATATAGTACAATTAGTATTAAAAAACTGCTTGTTTTTTCTTCAGCTCTGGCAAATTTTGTTTTTAGTCCATGCCATTACTTGTTCATCGATTAAGTATTTTTGTGTTTGTCTGGATACTGGATTGTCGTTATTTAAGTAATAACAGCTAGGCCACACGCATTACATTGATTTCCTCCAAAGGTAAAGGCATGCGTGAATGTGCGTCTTTGGGAAAACTCGAAAGTGGATAATTGCCTAATCTACACCTCCGCACTTCACCGCAGTCAACAGCAATGGCAAGAACATGTCTTTACATCGTTTCTCGAGAGCCCCAATTTCTTCTCCGCTCATCCTACAATAAGTTTAGACCGTATTTCAAAAGTTGTTTTTAACTTCCACAAACAGACGGTACCCGTACTTTAAAACGTAGCTCCGCAAAACAAGAATATATCGTGACAATTCAAACTAGAGGCCGTAAATATACACCTTCCATTAGACTGGATGACGGAGAGTAGTCAGTACGACAAAGCACTGGTTGCTGAGAGGGTTCTAATGGAAAACTTTTGCAGCTCAGAAGAGTGGGCAAATTTGGTAACCAATACGGGAAAATATCACTTTGCTAGAATGACGACGTATTGCACAGACCGGATGCTTGTTATTAGAATCAAACAAACTACACAAAACAAATTAATATAAACCCAAGAGTACCGTTATCTAAATCTTTCTATACAAAACCACTACAGTAGCCGGTGTATTATTGTATGGTACTTTACAAAGTTTTCAGAGCATGTAAAATAATAATTTAATTCTATTGGACACGTCATTTTACACTATTTTCAAACGAAACATATAATTATACGAAATGTAAGCACTGCATAACCCAATGTTCTCGTGATTTCAAGGGGTGAAAAGTGTTGAGTTTTTTTTAGGGGGGGGGGGGGGGGGGGGAGGTACTCAAGTGGGGCAACTTAGTTTGAGATTATAGTCAATATTGGCGTGGATCAGCTCTTAAGCTCTTGTGCGTGGTCTGGAAAGAAAACCGGAAAGGTAATGTCTCCACTGACTCCGCGGACTCTGGAGTCGTGGTATTAGATGTCTGGGGACCTCGTTATCCATATTTTATCATTTTCTTTATCTATCTGTCTGTCTATCTTTCTATCTATCTATCTATCCATCTATCTATCTATCTATCTATCTATCTATCTATCTATCTATCTATCTATCTATCTATTTATCTATCTATCTATCTGTCTATCTCTCTATCTGTCTATCTATCTACTCAACAAAATCTAAAATGGTAGTGTTTTATTCGTCTGTTCAAAATAATAATATATGAAAGTGCCAAGGCTCTGAATTTAAAAGAACAAAACGATCCATATCGAAATTTCTCTTTTAACCACTATGCCTACATCAGATAGCAGAATAGTTTTAATGTATAATACTTTATATTTTAAAGCTGTTCTTGGGATGAGAGAAATGTTCAAAGAGGACGAGTGGTCAAGGTACCTGGTAAGACGTTCGTGCCTTTCTGTGATAGTAAAAGAAACGAAAGAAAATAAGAGTAAAGAGAGATATCACTTCTCATGTGCGATGTGAATTTGAGAATATTTTTAGTTGACAAAGTTCTTGAATTCAAAATAGTAACGTCATTTTCAATAGAAGAGGGTGGTGGCGATGGATTGGACATACTCCCAGGAAGTCAGACAGCTGCATAACAAAGAAAGTTTTGGATTGGAACCCACAGGGCAAGAGATCAAGGGGAAGACCTCGTGGAACCTCGAGAAGAATCACAGAAATCGATGTACAGAAAAGTGGGAAGACATGGAATAACATCAAGAGGCTAGCCCAGGATAGAGAAAGGTGGAAGGTGTTTGTCCGTGGCTTATACCCTGGTGCAGGGTGAGAAAGGCAATGATGATGATGATGATTATTTTCAATAGAGACATTGTCACCAGCGGAATCCATAGCGCGTCCATGATGATATGAAGATGCTATATCTGCAGCGCAGAAATGGTTTGAGTCCCATTTGAGGTGATATTATGCTCAGGGACTTTTGGAAACAAAAGTGTGTCGATTTGCAGAGTGATTATATAGAGGTAGCACTGTGAGTGCCAAATGTCAACTTTCTAGCTTGGTTCTTTCAAAGTCAAGGTAAAGACTTCTTGAACGCCCCTCTTATATTATGGCCAACTTGTCTCTGAAATGAAGACTGTCAGCCTCCGCTTACCTCTCTACGTTGCAAATGAAAGCGTGATTAGTAGTCCCTGAACAGGAACACAGATCAGTGTGGGGAATAATGGAGCCCGCTCCATTCGGAATACCATTGTGTACAACTGGATCGGCATGAGAAAGGAGTTTTTCAGCCTGGCATAAGAGAATGAAGGTATTAGACAAACACTCCCCACTATAAAAAAATGACGTATTTGTTGCGATTGTCATTGATGGACTGCATTCAGCAAACGTGGATAACACACTGTCTTACCCCAGCATCGTAACCCAAAGAGCATCAGAGTGATCTACTCTCGATCTAAGGCTGTTAAAAAAGCCTAGGCTATGACCCACTGGGAACACATTGCATTGGTCGTGCTTCTGAGTTATACGGTTGGTATGCATTTGTTTGTCAATATCCTCTTCTCATTACACTTCAAAATTACACGTCATTCAGATTCTGGCTGTACGGATCATGTAAAAAAGAAGGGACAAAACTATACTGTGTTGTTGGTCAGTAACCATTAAAGGCTGGTCCCCATTTTTGTGGCATGGCAACTAATGTGGTCATTTGTTAATTTTTTTAAAAAATGTTTTTCTTTTTTTTTTTT